ATAGCAATAATTAAGCTTATAAATAAATCAAATAAATTTCTACATCATAGAAAATCAACTTAAATTATGCAATTAGCTTTAAATTTTTCATGTGTACAATGTGCATACAAAATTGGAGCTTGTTGCAGCCAAACTAGTACAGTCAATCTGTCGAAAAAAATATCGTTTGAGTGAAAAAAAAACCTAAATGGTAAGCCTTGTTTTTTCTGTTGCCAAATGACGTCAGTAAGCCACCTTGGCGATGGGCATGTTCAACTCGTAGGCGTTTTTTGAAAAACTCAAAAAAACCGTCAAAATTTGTTTGAAACGCATTTTTCTTGTTTTGTATGCATTTTAGAAACTTTTTTTTCAACCATAATTGTAGAGGGCGTTGAGTGCTACAATTTATGTCATTGTTGCAATCTCGTACAACAAAAAATGCGCATTGTAGGTGGCGCTAAAGTCTCAAAAAAGTGTTTTTTCACTTTTTCACCCTGAAAATATCATTTTAATGGAAAACTTTAAATGGCAAAGTTGTTTCGTACATAATTACCAACAACTTTTGTATAAACAATTTTTTTGTATTACTTACCGTTTTCAAGTTATAAATTGCGCAGGTATGAAAAATCTAATAGAGCGGTTTTGGGCAGTTCACGTACACATTTGCAGTGCACATTTCGATGTACGTTTTTACTAGTTTTTTTTCAATCATGAAAAAAAATAAAAATAAACTATTTTTTTTTTTCATTTTTTTTTTGTTTTTCAATCATGAAAAAAAATATAAAATAGTAAAACGTACATTGAAATGTGCACTGCAAATGTGTACGTGAACTGCCCAAAACCTTAGATTAAAACAAAAAGGGTAGATACGGCACTGACCTCACAAAAGTGATCCGCATAAATTGTGGCCCAAGACCACAATCGCTTTAGTCACAACTTGACATGCAAACGACGTACATGTGAACGCCAAAAAGAAACATTGCTAATATTTTCTGTTTATATGATAAAACAATATTTAATATATGCCTAAGTGGGTTTTTAAAAAGTACTCAAATTGCTCAAGAATTAAAAATAAAACCCACGGCGTCACTTTTCATTCGTAAGTACTATAAAATATATTTTTTCATAAAAATTGCTGTTTGTTTTGAATCTTATTCGGTAGCGACGTCGAGTACTGGTCGCGTGATTGGTCGGTAGTGCAGTGACGCGGATCTCGCCGTCTCGTTCGCGCTGCCGTTGAAACTTAACGTGCTGTTTCGTTCGGGTCGGTAATGCAGTGAGGCGGATCTCGCCGTCCCGTTCGCGCTGCCGTGGGATCAGTTTTTGTTTGATACAAGTATGAGCGTACCGTATCTACCCTTTTTGTTTTAATCTAAGCCCAAAACCGCTCTATTGGATTTTTCATACCTGCGCAATTTAAAACTTGAAAACGGTAAGTAATACAAAAAAATTGTTTATACAAAAGTTGTTGGTAATTATGTACGAAACAACTTTGCCATTTAAAGTTTTCCATTAAAATGATATTTTCAGGGTGAAAAAGTGAAAAAACACTTTTTTGAGACTTTAGCGCCACCTACAATGCGGATTTTTTGTTGTACGAGATTGCAACAATGACATAAATTGTAGTACTCAACGCCCTCTACAATTATGGTAAAAAAAAAGTTTCTAAAATGCATACAAAACAAGAAAAATGCGTTTCAAAAAATTTTTGACGGTTTTTTTGAGTTTTTCAAAAAACGCCTAAGAGTTGCACATGCCCATCGCCAAGGTGGCTTACTGACGTCATTTGGCAACAGAAAAAACAAGACTTACCCTTTAGGTTTTTTTTTCACCACTCAACCTACAGATTGACTGTACTAAACTGCCAACTTACAATTGCGACGACAACATGAATGTCCAACCAATTAAACAACTTAATAGCAATTAATTAGAACAAGTACTTATGTCATTCCTAGAACTAAGACCAATAAACTTAATTAGAAGAGATTAGATAATAAAATTAAAATTTGCTCTACGCGTAGCCTCGTTAATATTTATGAAGAGGAAATGGTAAATCTTGACGATGCAGTCGGTGAATAAATTAATTACCTGTTTTACTGTTAGACTTTTGATTAAAAATGTGGTGGTACACAGATCTATGATCTCACTGGTGTATAATATCGTGGGTTTTTGCGAACTTTGTTTTTTAGGTTTTCACGCACATCACTCATTAAATAAAACAAGTTTCAACCGGTTAGATGCACTGATTTTATTTATTTATTGCAAAGGATGCGAAACGTCAATAAATAAATAAAATCAGTGCGTCTGACCCGTTGAAACTTGTTATATTTATTTTTTGTTTTTGTTTAAATACTTAAATAAAAAATAATGATGCAGATAAAAAAGGTTTAAATATCTCTCCTAAAGCCCTGTGAGGTGAGTAAGGTTCCAGGGCTCCACGGGATAGAGGATTATTGGGTCAGGCTAGGCATGTGCGAATGATATTTTTGTACGTGTATAGGCTATGGTGGCCGCTTACTATCAGGCGAGCCATTCGCTTGTTTGCAACCCTTTTTAACATAAAACGTACATTTGGCATTAGTTTGGACTAAGATGTCGAATATAGGTACATTATAAATATGGCATGTCCGATTAGGCTTGTTGAAAATATATCGATGTATCGATTTATTTTTTGTTCGATATATCGATATTTTTAGCCGATATATTTTGATTCGATATATCGATACAAAACAACCAATGGCGAAATTTGTATAAAAAACGATATTTTTTAATTATTAGCGGCATATTACGTTCTGACTAAATTCGCATCTGGAAAAATCGTAACTGGATCTCAGATTAATGATATTTAACATATCTATGATCTGTGCTGTATTTAGTATTGTCTATGATTTGTAAATCTGTTTCTCTGGTGAATAGGTTGTGCTGAATTCCATTATATTCTTTGGTAGTGTGTGACTGTCTAGTCTTGTTTACAAGATATGGCACCTGAGAGGCCCTGCAATCATTTTCATCATTCGAAAATGGAGTCTATTTTAGGGAGATAATTTTCGTTCCAATAATATTCCGCGTGTCATCTTTCGTGAGATACTGTACTGTCATGTAGTGCAGCAGCAATTTGGTACTTTGCTAATTCTTTCTTTAAGTATAAATTGTGTTGTTATTAATACTGTACTAGGTTGACCTAAATATATTTTTGGGAAAATTGGTCCGATATATATCGATGTTTTTTTCGCGATATATCGAAGCCGATATTGATATTTTTTATAATATCGATGTATCGATGTATATGGATATTTTTCTCACTTTCGACATCCAGTCTCCGCCCACGTCAAACCCACAATGGAAAAACTATCTTATTCCTTATTGATTGGTTTTTCAAAAGTTAGTCTTCGTAATATTTGTGAGAAATAAGTAGGTCATTACTGAAGTGGTAACACAAATTTAAATCGGGAAATCCACGGCTTTTAACCTCACGTAATATTTTTCCATTTAAGAGCCAAGAAACCGTACCATGGCTACCTACCCACTTACACAGATTAGAAATTCCTGATCTCGCACTTCATCAATTGAAATTTCCATACAGCGATGTTTATTCAAAACTATGAAACTTTCTTTTACGACAAAGAGAATAGTACCTTAAGTTGCTTTGCCATAAAGCGTAGTTTCCCAAAACACAGTTAAGTGTTGGTAACTTGGTATAATTTTACTGCATGACTAATGTATTACGTTACATCCACCGTGCGTACTGGCGGAGAAAGTTCCATTGTGATATATAAACAAAGCGATTATGGTGCAAGCTAATGTGAACTGTAATTTTATAAGAGTTATAATCGCCATAAGATTAGCCAATTACCTACACTTGTTGAACGGATTAACTTTTAAGTCAGTAATAACAAAACATCGCTTCAAACCATACTGAATTTAAAGTTCATGAGCGCGCAGCACGGATACAAACCCGGTGACGCTGTAAAGGTCAAATGCGACCAACAGCATACACACTCAAAAAAAAGCACGCTTATTGCCGCGTTAAGGTTCAATCTTTCCATTAACTTCATAAAACAATAAAATGTTACGTAAGTTATTGATGTGTAACATCTTTCCTTTCGTTTTCCTGCAATTTGTGGGAGTGATTTCGTGAAATGGGACGTAAGTGTGTAACAGGAAGTCGCGAAAGCGCGCGCTATTTGATTTCATTTTAGAACATAATGTTCAAATGGCTTATACCTTTTGTAGTAGGTGTTATTTCTTTTTTTATTAATTTATGGTAAGGTTTCAAATATTACACGTCCTACGTGACTACTGTAAGGCTTGCTCGTTTTTTTTATTGTATTTAAGAAATGTTCTCAGTAAAAACAAAAACTTAGAGCGATACAGGGTGGAAAAGTTAGTTTTACACCTTAACTCCATCGGTTTCGAACTCGGGGGGGGGACCTTATAACTATTAGAATAGAGTTTATGTTTAAATTGATAAATCTAAATAAATAAATACAATAATGCTCCTATGTTCATAATATGTACACTAAATAATCTTTTATCTAAAGAAATTTGTACTAGAAAAACAATTTTTTCATATCACACATTATAAAATCTAGCAGTTTATAAAAAATAAACAAAAAGTAGTTTTAATTGATCTCATACATTGACAAAATTCCCCACAACAATATTGTATTAAAATTTTAAGCTCTTCTTTACACATATAAATCGTATTGTCTCTACATTTCTAAGAAGTTTTAGTTCCGCTATTTGCCGCAAGTAGCGTTATCGGACTTAGTTTAATATTATTTATGGCCCTATTATATTAAGAACCTAATGATTTCAGCTCAAATGGGAAATTCGTTTTAGCATAAATAGAGTTTGTTTTCTATGCAGTATTTTCAACACGTAATTTTTTTGTCGTTTAAAAATTGTAGTCTCTACATTTATGAAAACATTTTAGTTCTGCTAGTGCTCACTAGTAGCGCTCTTGGACTGATCGGGAGATTGACAAGTTGATTTATATATTTTTCTTGATTTGTTGACAGGTGATACCGGCAGCACGCACGCGTTGTACCTCGAAACAATAGTCGAGGAGACGAGCGATGATTTACGTTCCGAACGCTCCTCCGCTGCCACGTGGCTCTCAGACTCCGATGCGGACTCCGTCATACACGTCCGTGGAGTCGCCGGTAAGTTCTGTGATAAATTCGTAATGGTTAGTTTTAAAATAATAAATATTTAGTTACTCCGTCATAGATGTTTCACGTTCTGTGAAATGACTAGCGCCATCTAGTGACTAGTAGCAAGACTGCGTAGCATTCTATTTGAGTTTGAAACCAAGTTTCTAATGTATCTCCTGCGCTCAATAGAGGGCGCTGTAAACCAGAAATAAATAATACGAAAGTAGAGAATAAAGAAGGGAGACAAATTTTATCTAAATGTTATGTATTCAAACTGTAGTTTTTGAAATGTTGGTTTTAAATTATCTTTACATTACATCAAACTTAATAGTTCTTAGTTGTTTTTGGTAGCAGTACCTACAATAAAAACTGTTTTATTTTGGACTTCATCCAAATTAACTGTCCGCATCACAAATTAGTGTCATTGTCATTACCGGCGTCGCGTCGTCGCGACGCACAAGTCTGTTAGTCGTTAATACCTGTTCCTGAAAGAGATATCTTTCTGCAGGTTCGGAGGACAGTGAATCAGAACGAGAATGGGCATGCCCTGCAAAACGGCGACGGCGGGAGCGCACCACCTCGCCCACCAGTTCCGCGTCGCTGTCGCGTTCTTCCAGCCTAGCACAGTTTGAATCCCTAGAGCGGTCATGCGCAGCGCCGACATCGCCGAGCTTATCCCCTGATTCTCTCGAATCACCGCCTGCGTCTCCACCGCCAACGCGAGCGCCCGCACCTCGCACGCATCTCTCCGCCGAAAACCTCAGCGAAGACAGCGGGTACAGTGAGCGGTCGAGGCGGCCGCCCCCGCCTCAACGCCGCCCGCCCGAAATAGCGCACCGGCCGGCAGCCGCCGGCAGCGTGCCGTGTCTCGCGACCGCGGTCAGTGTGGAGCGCCGCCCGCCCCGCGCCACGCGCGCTCTTTCCTTGCCCGCCGAGCTCGACGTGTGTGCCGAGCCACGCCGCCACGCGAGTCACCGCGCTCACTTCCGACAGACTTTCGAAGTCAGCGACAGCCTCACCGTCAGCGTGGCGGACCTCACCGCGCTCGACTACCGCGGCGGATCGCGGCGCCCGCGCCTGCCGCCCCCGCCGCCGCCCCCTCGCGCACCCCGCCAACCACCCCCGCCACCCCCCGATGCCATCACGCGCCAGCCGTCGGCGTCCCCGGTTCGCGAGCCGAGCGCCGGCAGCGACTCCACCACCGAGTCGGAGCAGGCATTCGCCCGCGAAATGGAAACCACCGCCCGCCAGCTCGATGAGACCGCGAGACGAGCGCTCGCCGACAGTGGCAACTTTGACCGCGAGCTATCGGTCCTGACGGCGAGACGACTTCGAGACTCGTGGGGGATCTGGGACGACGTTTTAGACGAATTACGACGACGAATGGATCCTCAATCAGCTACCCCGTCTCCACCCCGAACGCCCTCCCCGGATCCAATTAGGGAACCCTCCTTCACTTCGACACCTTTGAGAACGGGCGATGCGAGAGTGCGATCGACACCCGAATTGCGTGCGAGAGCTACGCCACACCGTGAAACGCCTGAAGAGCTACGAGCGTCGCTACAACTCGTAGCACCGCCGCCCCCTGGTGCTACGCCGCCCGTTCGTTCAGTGTCCGCGGGTTCGAAAGGAGTTACGTTCTCACCAGTAGTCGCAGAGGTGAGCTGGCGCGAGACAAGCGCGAGCACCACGGAGAGCGAGACGACCGCGAGCGACGACGCGGCCGACGCAGAAGTGGAGGTCGTGGAGGGGGGGAGCGAGGAGGCGCACGCGCCGGCCTCAGAACGCACGGCTACCATGACGGAAGCGGGCGCGCGCGCTCCGCGCAGCCGCATCGCGGGCTTCCTATCGCGGTTCGCGAACTTCCGATTTTCGGGTCGTAAAGAGAAAAAGTCTCGGGGCGCAGGCGCGCTACCCCGACCGGCGTTGAACGGTTCGACAGCGGCAGACGCGGGGCAGGGACCGCGCGGGGCGGCCGGCGGGCCGCAGTATGTGCGCATCCCGCTGAAAGAGGAGGGTGTGTCGCGCGCGGCGGGTCCCCCGGCGACGGCGGCGGGCGGCGGCGTGGCGCACAAACCGCCACGGCCGCGCCCGCCGCCCGCTCCAGCGCCTGGAGTCCTCGAGACCGACGTCGACACGCAGCGCACCGTGCTCCACGCGCGCTCGCTGCTCGCGCTCGCGCCGCCCGACCAGCGCGCGCCGAGACCCCACAAGTCAATGGAGTTCCTGCTCGACAAGGACAGCGCCCAAATCGTACAGGTGAGTCCCCACATTAGTACATATCACACCCCACCTGCCGGCTTTCGATCCGGCTCGCCAATGTTTACAAACAGCGCGATCGATGTCTGACGGCCGTCGACCCCGCTCGCTGTGCGATCGAAAAACATGTGACATTTTGTTATCTGCAAAATTATTCTGCGACCTGCGGAGTGTAGATAGAAACGTGTTGTGTAACAAAAACATAATGGCTTACGACCAGTCCATATGTAGAGTCGAAAAACTAGGTTAAGTGACACACACCCGCTAATGACTACGTAACGAGCCCCTTGGGCCTGCCGGGCCCCTGTTCCCAGGGGTCGTTTCGACACGATCACACGCAACCGTTTGCATTAGGTGAAAGTGCGCACATCTGCACATTGTCGCCAGCCATTGTACCGCGGGCCATATCCGCACACGGTGGGCGTAGCTGTAATTTTATCAAAGCATGCGCATTATAATTGCTATACTATTGACATTCCTGACGCTAAACTACAGAACCACAAAAACGGCCCGAACTAAACCTAGAATGAAGCGATTCCAGAAAACCCATTGTCTGACAATCAAATAGAATGGACAGTGATTTATATGCCTAGTCGGCCAGCAGAATGGCGACTATATAGATAAGATTATTACAAAAAGACCCTTAACAATACAATGGAATACCGTAGGAAAAATACCTCGGCGCGGTCATAAAAAACAACACGAGACATAAACAATCTGCGTTTATCTTTTCGTATTTCATCTTTGAATACTAAAATTAAAACTATAAATGGCTAGAATCATCAGCAGATAGTTATGATGTCTGAAATTCCGCATAAATACCAAAAACGGTCATAAATATTGTCCGGCTACGTAACAATGATAAATTTTCTTATAAATTCTCACAGTGCCCAATTAATTTTCAAAGGAATCTTATTTGTATGTACACAAAACACAGTTAAAAATTAGCTGGAGAATAAAAACCACGGTTCACACAGCTGGTTGTACAGTCACGCGAAGAATCCGTACACTTATTTTTAGCGTTAAATAGGTATATGTTATCTACGAAAGAAAAGCATTAAAGTGCGTAGCATACTATGACTGTTTGCAACAAACGTTTAAAAAAACGGTCTTAGCTTGCGTATCGTCCGTGCTCACATAAGGTATGCTATAGCTTTCCTCTAATGATAGTAAAAATCAACTTACAGCTGGAAGGCTCTTATGTAGAACGCGACACATTTTTACTCACTTATCAAGTAATATTAACTTGAGTACGGGACCATTAGAGGAATTTGCCAGTGGCGCCAAATTACTCCCGTTTCCACGTCTACTCAAGGTAAAACAAAATAAAAAAACTGATAGTCTTTTGTCTACACTATCGTTCTATTTTGTTTGTAGCGCTTAATTTTATGTTATTTCAAACCTCTTTTTCTATTCCATGCGTGGGATTGTACATAATAAGTGTATGTACAATGTGAGTATATATATTTTTCACGTGACTGTAACTAATTGTGCTCATCGTAATCACCCATGACATTCTGGTCTTGCACTTAGTATGATGTCATTTGACATCACAAGGTCAACAGTATAAACTTACGTATTTATTACGGATGCTTGTAAACAATCCATTTATATAATTGTCAAGGTCTAGTCTAAATAATAAGACAATATTTAACGTCATACTTCATTTTTACTAACGAAGGGAAAATCAGCTTTGCCAGTAAACATCAATCAATTTATACATAGTAATAAGCCGTATCGAAAACAGTCCAAGTATTCAATGCACACATTTCGGTTGGCCGTGACCGAATTAGTCAACTCTAACCTCTATCTAGGTAAGTTGCAAGCTTACGCAACCTCTACTCAAGCACGACTCGAGAATGTTGACCGGCAAAAATAAACAATATACTTAATAGGTACCTAACTGAAAAAAAACACAAGGTAAAAAAATAACAGTTCTGCCATTGTTTGTTAAACTAGGTTTAGGTACTTTATTTAGGTACTTTATTTTAATGCGATAAAATAAAAGCCTGTGTTATGCAGGATTTATATAGCATTCTTAGGGTGAAACATTTTTTTAAAACGGTTTCCAGTAGTTTTTGAGCATCTTAGTTACAAACTTACAATAAATGAAAATTTTCTTCTTTATAAAATGCGAAAAAGAAAAAGGTTTTTCTATTCCGCAGCTTTTTCGAATCTCTACTTTTCGAAACCACTACTATTTCGTATCTCATTTAGGGTCATGCCATCAAATGCCAAAATATGTACCGTCATTCTGTCGTCTTCTTCAAATGAATGAACTGTGAGAATGATATTAATTTGCCACATAGTATGTATTATGATTCGATGGCGCAGGTGGTTAGCGCGTTCGGCTGCGATCGTTGAAGTTAAGCAACTTTCGCAGTGGTCGGTCATTGGATGGGTGACCAAAAATCTTCTATCTCGACTTCTAACGTGCTTCGGAAGGCACGTTAAGCCGTCGGACCCGGCTTCATCTGCAGACGTTAGCACCCGCCAATCCGCACTGAGTTCGCGTGATGGGTCATGGCCTAATCAAGGGAACAGGCCTTCCCTATGGATGCAATAGGGTATTTCATCCACAGGGAAGGCCTGTTCCTCAGAAGTGGGGACGTTAATAGGCTGATGATGATGATTATGATTATAGTAATTTTCTGCTCAGGGACATAATTTATTCTGAATCTCTTCTTATAATTTGTTTTGAATCCCTGCCAACTCTGTAAGGGAGGTAATGAATGATGTGACGTATGTCTGTAAACTTCGACAGTCGGAACACTTCATTTTCAACAAATGACAATCTGACTGTTGGTTTTGGAATACTTTTGCCAGTATTAAGTTTTATTTCTTGTGTTTTTATTATTTGAATATAACTGGCATCCACGGCTTGGGTGTCCATAGAATATTTTTATTAGTATCAGCTGCATAGTTTCGTCCCCTATTGATTCTTTAATTTTCAAATCTTTTATATTCAAATTTATTATAGTAACAAAATTTCGTATTTGTCCTTCTACAATAACCGCTTAATCAAAATCAGTTTAGCGGCTTAGAAGTGAAAATATTAACATTACATGATATTTAGTTTGTAACTAAAGAGGTATTTCTCTAAAGACACGAATTGAAGCAAAAACAATTTAATAAGCAACGATTTCATTTCGCAAAAATTCAAAAGTTAACCAAAATATTGTAGTTATTTCAAAGGCATTTCCAATTAACGAAGTATTATCTCCCCTCGTATTTAAGAATGTGTTCTTCATAAGCGTATAATATTTTACGACAAAGTTATGACCCACTTATTAACTTCGCACACGCCGCCGGTACGTACATGAAACAATATCTTCGCAATTTCCAAACCCGAAACGAAATGGAATATGAACTTGACTAAAAACGTGAAAGAAGCTTGTAAAAAAGTTTAAGCAACATGGAAGCATTATTATAAAAGCTAATGGGGCGCATCGGTGTATGCGCCTCTAACCTCAACAATAAGTGTTCTTTTTATTTATCGTTGGATAGAAAAGTCCCCTCTGATAATTATCAAAAGCTTGTTATAATAAGCGAGTACTGCAAAATCTAGACTTCAACGAAAACAACATCAATTTTCAATTAAACCTTAAAAGAACTCCTGCAGGCGAATTTCAATAAAAAGTTTAAGAAAACATACCTACACTATAAATCGTTAAATAAGTTAAATAACACACATGATTTATTGCATATGACTATTAGAATTCCGACTTTATTTTTTCGAAGTTATTGCTTAATAGTGAAAGTCCGTGGCTTTGTATGTGTGGAATTGTTAATTTTCTATACAATTTCTTTTTAAAGAAAATTTTACAAGAAAAGATCATTTTTTTTGTAGTAAAATTTTCCTTACATTTACGTGTATCTTTTCTATGTTTCTTAATACACTCATAATGAATAACATCGTAATAAATGATCATACAAATTCGTCCCATTTAAAGATTTCTTGATTTCCGTTAAAAAAATATGAAAATTTAATCCAGTAGTTCAGTGTAGTGCCTAGTTAATTTAGTAGTTCAGACAAACATACAGACAGTTCTACTTATTTGAATTATAATAATTCGTATATATGGAATCAAATACTTTTTAAGTGTTTACCGATAAACTTGTTTGAACACTTGGAGTGTACTCGCGACTCGCCTTCACTTATCTAATTTCTCTCATCTTTTCCTTTATTCTTTCTGTCGCTGAGGAGGAGCCTGAGAACCCTCAGAGCATTTTCACCCTTAATCTGCCATCATTGTACCTACTTAACTTTCCGATTTAATTTTCATGTCCATCATTGTAAGTACCGCTAATATACTTAAGTATAGTCCACAGTGAGTGGACGTTGTGTTGGTAGTAGCGACATGTATTTTTATACGAATTTTGTATTGAATGTTGCTACCTAAGTACTTCTGTTAAATGCTGACGAGTTTCTTGTGGGCATTCTTCGCATCAGCTACAAAATGTTTCATTTCAATTCAAAAGAGCTTTTTTATAAGTCAATTTGAATAAATAATAATTATAACTAGAAAAAAGTTTTTTTTTTCTTTCCTGTTATATTTTCTTTAGGTTTAAACATCTAGCAGCTACATGCTTAAAAATAAAAATTGTAACTATAATTAGTATTTCTTCTTTCAAATGTTTAATACTTGTAAAAGTATTCATTTGACATTGTGGGTAACCTACAATGCGAAGAGATGGCGCTGCCTTGCAGCTTAAGAATGGCTGGAAGAATTTCGACGCGTCGATCAGGGCCGCGGTAGCATAATTGGTCAGTGCATTCGCCCGAATAGCGAAGGGTGCGGGTTCGAGTCCCGTCTGCTGCCTGGTCCGCGTGTTTTTTTTTTAGTTATATTTTCTTTAGATTTTAACATCAAGCAGTTACATGCTTAAAAAATAAAACAATTATTATTTCATTTCATATATGGAGTTTGCATTTAAAATGCTGCGTAAACGTAAAAAAGGTACGTACTAAAACACGGAACAAGCTTTTGTTCAGTTGTGGTAGACATTAAGACTGATTATTATTAAACAAAACAATGATGAATTTTAAAGATATAAGTGTACATAGAAAGTGCATAGTTCGTGGAGAGAGTTTTCAAATTCCATTTGGTCGCAAATGATTTGCATAGGTAAGTGCGTACACGTACAATTGTACATGTCTTTCCAAACAGTAGGTGTAGATTAGTATATAGAAATATAGATACGTTTAAGCCAGTTAGTACTGTCTATCATCATCATCATCATCATCAGCCTATTAATGTCCCCACTGCTGGGGCACAGGCCTTCCCTATGGATGGAATAGGGAGATTGGGCCATGACCCACCACGCGGACCCAGTGCGGATTGGTGGGTGCTAACGACTGCAAATGCAGCCGGGACCAACGGCTTAACGTGCCTTCCGAAGCACGGAGGAGCTCGAGATAGTAAATTTTTGGTCACCCATCCAATGACCGACCACTGCGAAAGTTGCTTAACTTTAACGATCGCAGCCGAACGCGCTAGCCACCTGCGCCATCGAGC